GAAGCCGCCTTAGCCCCCGTACTGCACTGCTGCCTGCGAGCCACTCGGGGTCAGCCCCTCCCACCCCAGCCTTGATCCCAAAGCTGGAGCCCCCTTCTCTCCCCCAAAACTCCCCTCCTCAGCCCCATTCCGGAGCCCACACGCCAGTCGCATTCTGTCGGGTCGCGGCATCAACGATTTTCAACCGGGTCAGGAGAAAAAAAAGTCCGTCCCCCCCCCCGTCAACAGTGGGGTAATGCAGGGCAGGCCGCTCTGTCTCATCTGCCCCGTTCCTGGAGAAGCCCCTTTGCTGCTCCGCAAAGAGCTAACAGGGAAGGGAGCCACTTCCGGGCAGCCAGCGTGGGCTGTGTGGCTAGACTCAGTGCCCTTCCCCCCGGCTTCCGGGTCCATGTGTGGTGTGGCCGTTTGTCCGCGCCTGTCCCCGGGCACGTCCGTGTCTGCCAACCCTTCCTCTGGGCAGGAAACCTCCACGGCCAGGCCCTGTCCGCAAGCCCTGGCTCTCCCAACCCACAGAGCGTGGCCAGGCGGTACGATGGGAGCTCGGCGTGGCCTTTCGTTGGAGCTCTCGCTCTCTCCCACTCACAAGAGCCCTTGCACAATGGGAGCGTTCAAGGGTCAGGCTGATAGTAACGATCCTTTCGGGAATCGCTCCTTAAGACGGGCAAACGCCCTCCTGGCCTGTTCTGCTTGTCTTCACTCAGTTCCACGGAGATGCGCCAGCCGCCCTGGAGAAAAGGCAGCTCTCCAAGGGTGTGTCTACACCACAAAGTTATTCCAGAACAACCGCCGTTATTCCGGAATAACTATGCACGGTAATTCCGTTATTTTGAAACCATTTTGAAATAACGGACGGCTTATTTGGACTTCTGTAAACCTCATTCTACAAAGAATAACGTCTCTTCCAAAATAGCTGTTTCGAAATAAGGTGTGTGTAAAAAAGGCAGAAGAACGGCTCTTGCGCAAGAGGCTACACGGCTCATTTTTGCGCAAAAGCCTCTTGCTTACAAACGGCTGCTCACTACTTATGCAAATGAAGTCTGGCGATATTCCATGCTGTGCTTCATTTGCATATGCATTTGCATAGACGTAGCCCAAAGGTTAATATGCCTTGGTCTTTGGCAGAGCCATAATTAGCCAGCTACATTCTGTTTGGAGTCTGTAGATTTGGGTGGTTAAACTCCAGGGAAAGTCCTGGACACACACACAGAAAATGTGAAATTGTAATTAAAATATTCACTCACATTCCCCTCCCCACCCCCTTGTGGCAGGGGGGAATGTGAGTGCGGGGGAGTGTTTGTGACAAAGTGGACTTGGATTCGAGAAAGTTGGGTTCCATTCTGAGCTCTGCTCCCCGAAGACTTTGCTCAGGTCATGCAAACCACTCCCCGCCTGTTTCCCCACTTGTACAAGGAGGGTGATGGTAAATTAATTATTGTTTGGGAGGAGCTATGATATGGTGATGCCAAAGGGACCTAATGGTCCCAGGGACTCATTAATAGAGGGTTGCTCATTACTACGAACCAAGATTGGAAATGCCCCCGTCCCTCAAATCGGCCATAATTCTAACAAAAGCTAAGGCCTGAAATAGAGCTGTTTGGGGTGAAGGGAGAATTTTGCCATGTTGAAATGACTTTCTGTTCTGAATCAGCAGGTACTGTCAAAATATTGACACTTTTCGTAAAGCTGGGGGGGGGGGGTGATCACCCTCTCCCAGTTTTGAATCAGGGAAAACGTTAACATTTTCGATCAACATGTCAAAATGAGATGTTTTGACCTGCAAAAAATATTCATTCAGTTTTGAAGTGTCCATTTGCAATGAATTTTTGTTTGAATTCTCCCGTAACAGGACATCTAAAACTTTGATGAAATAGACATTTTCCTGTGTGGGGAAATTTTTATGGGCTCTGCAAAATGAATTGTCAGAACATTCCAGGATGAATGGGATTTGCAGAGGAGTTAAAGGAGTTTGTGTGTCTGG